GCCAGAAAGTGCCTTGCGTGGGCGGGCGATCTTCCCGCGCACCGGAGGGCCCCAAGGGAAAGCCTGCGGCCCTGAGGGAGGCTTGGGGTGGGGGGGCGGCGGTGGCCGCCGCCATGTTGGACTGGAGGCACGCACGCTCCCAACGCTCCCAGGCTGCAATCGCGGCGGGAGCTCCTCGGACTCTCTGTCTTTTCGACCCTGTCCTTGGAACCTGAGGAGATTTACGCTCTACTGGGAGGGTGTGTGTGAATCGGGGGGCGGAGGCCGTCTACGCCATCGTAGGGGCGGGGGGAGCCGAGATTAGCGCATCAGCCTGAGAGAATCGGTGCCTCTGGTTCTCCGCTCCGCCTCACGTCTTTCAGCGAGGCCTTGGGCCAGTCATCTCGCCGCCTCGCACCTCAGTTTCCCATCTGTGAAGTGGAGCTGGGCCCTCCTGACTCACCTATTCATCAGGTGGGGGCCTTTACACTCTGGGAGCCTTTTCAAAGGACTTTTCCTTACACAAAATCGTATTTATCATTATTTCCTCTGTAGAAATTACCCGGTTTTGAATTGGGGGTGTTTGCATGTAATTGAGCTTTTTCTCCCATTCTTCTCTTCAACTCTCTCCCAAGAGAGAGCTTGAAAGTAAGCCTCATCTATTATTGATAAGCTCCTGTAGTATACGAGGCATTTTCCTTTAAGCATACAGACCAAAGGAAAAACAGTCTTACACGAAGCAGTTAAAATGACTGAGGCTCCCTGTTGTGTGGCAAGAAAAAGAGACGTTAGTCTCTTCAGGACAGCCAGTTTGTATCCTGCTAACCCAGGATAAAAAGTCTGGACCATAGTTGTCCTCTTGATTTAGCAGTCCTAACTGATCACTGAGGTCCTTTTTGTTGGGTTACATTACAGACTGCTGCGAAGACCCTGGTATCCACTTGCTAGAAACCAAATTGAGAGATTATCACTTTTCTGAAGCCATGTGTTTGGGGGAGACATATGGCCTATGGCTTTTCACGAGTATGTTACATTTTTATTAAGGCCCAACCTGTTTTATTTATTTATTTATTTTTTTAAATCCAGTAGCTCAGGGGATGGAAGTGTGTGACCAAAAGGAGGCAGTAGTCTGAGAAGAGTCCAGTTAGCAAGAAACAGGAGAGAGACTTCTCTTAGATTAAATTCGGTATTAAGGAACCAAAATATCACCCTTTTTGAGGGGAAACGGTCTCTTTGATAGAAGAGACTATAAACTGCACTGAATTTACCTTTTTGAATTTCTTAGTGTGCTCAAACAAGGAATAATTCTGAAGTAGATAATTGGTATGTCTTTTACCAAGTACATAATTTGGGAAGCATTCTGATAGTTCCATAGAAGGACATGGAAGTACACCTTCAGGAGGGTGCAGGTGGTTTAGTCATGGTTTAAACAATTTAAATCCTGTTGGGTAGGAGCCAGCAGGTGGCATGGTGGTTAAGGCACTGGATTTCTACAGGGCTGCAGTTTGAGTCTTGAACCAGGTGGCCTGAAAATCACAACAAATAAGTAAATAACTAAATAAAATGTTAAAAAAAATTCTGTTGGGTGTTGGGAAAGTCATTGTGCATTTTTGTACTGAAAAACATAGAAAAATATGTTATGACTTTCTCAACGACTTAATACTAAGTTTCAGTGGATATAGTGGTTATCAAAAATTTTACTGTGCCTTGGGAACCAGCAGTTAGCGTAATGGCTGTGTCGCTGGATTCCCATGTAGTCCACCGCGGTTCGCGTCCTGGACCCGGTGGCTTAGAACTCATGCCGGGTGTGCGTGCACGTGCGTGCCCAAGATCCCAGGAGGAGAATGGAGGAGAAGGGATTGTGGCGTGACCATTCCCCCATGGGGGGTGATTTCTCGCTTTCTATCTCTATGTCTCTCTCTGTCTTTCTGGCGAGTGCACGCACCCTTTAGGAAAAACCTCCCAAAAAAAAAATTTTTTTTTTCTGTGCCTTGACTTTTTTTTTTTTTTTTTTTTTAGTTTGCTATGGGACACTTGCACTCACCTGGGGAAGAGAGGAAAGAGAGAAAATGAGAAATCACTTTTGGAGAAATGTCCATGCTGTCATCTTTTCTGTTTTCGCCCGGGACTTTGGCATGCATGCACACTGAGTATGTTTTTCAAGCCAATGGGTTCAGGATTTGAGCTTCATAGTCAACCATGTGGGATCCAGCTACTTTAATCATCATGCCTCTGCCTTGATTTTTAACATAATTATTATGAGACATGACTTACTTTTCTAGAACTAGGTAGGTTTTCTTTTTTTTATTTAAAAAATTTGGTCTGGGACCAGCAGATGGTGTAATGGTTACGTTTCTGGACTCCCATGCAGTTAAAGGTGGTTGAGTCCTGGACCTAGCAGCTTAAAACTCACGCCAGGCATGGGTGGGTGCATGCCCAAGATTCTGAGAGGAGAATGGAGGGCAAGGGATTGCAGCATGGCCATCCCCCAGGGGAGTGATTTCTTGCTTTCTGTCTGTCTGTCTCTCTGGCGAATGTACGTGCCCCATAGCAAAAAATGTCTCTCTCAAAAAAATTTAAAAATGATGGGATTTTGGGGACATGTGCTTGCTGGGGATACTTAAGTTGTGTGGTGTGGGACTGAACCACCACCAGCTGCCACTGGCAAACCTAGAATTGGGTAGTAGTTTTTCTGGATAAGTAAAGTTTAAGGATTTGCCATTTGTAATATTCAGACATTTTAGTGTGTTGTAATAGTATATGAACTGGTTTACCCATTAATACTGATATTTAAATTTCTCAGGGTACTCTGATATTTGTCACTTTGGTAATTTCCGTTTTTTTTTTTTTTCTTTGGGGGGTTTTTCATGTGCGCTCACCAGCCAGACAGAGAGAAACATAGAGACAGAAGTCAAGAAATCACCCCCCAGGGGGGATGGTCACACCGCAATCCCTTCTCCTCCATTCTCCTCTCGGGATCTTGGGCACTCACGCACATGCGCCCAGTGTGAGTTTTAAGCCACCGGGTCCGGGACGTGAACTGCGGTCGACTACGTGGGAGTCCAACGACATAGCCATTATGCTAACTGCTGGTTCCAGTTTTTTTTTTTTTTTAAGAGGTTTTTGCTGTAGGGCTCGTGCGCTTGCCAGAAAGACAGAGACAGAGAGACAGAAAGTGAGAAATCACCCCCCAGGGGGAATGGCCACGCTACAGTCCTTTCTCCTCCATTCTCCCCTTGGGATCTTGGGCATATACACTCATGTGCCCAGTGTGAATTTAAGCCACCAGGTCCGGGACTCAACCGTGGTTGACTATATGAGAGTCCAGCAACATAGCCATTATGCTAACTGGTGGTTCCTTAATTTCAGTTTTTAAAAAAATAAGTATGGCTTCATGTGTGAAGATGATTATTTCTAAATTAACATTAGTTAAAACTAGAATACTATTTGTATTTTATAATATGTGTGTAAAAATAATGCTTTTGATATTGTATGAAAACAATGCTTTTGACGTGATTGTTGTTGAATGTTTTAATAAATTTAACAGATTAAACTCTCCCTAAAGAACTAATGCTATTAACAAGTCTTTTAAACATTCCAGACTCTATTTGTAAATTTAATCTGTTGAATTGACTCAACCATTTCTAATAGCTAATAGGGCAGACTTAAAAACTTATTAAAATATAAGCCCTTAAGTAATCAGTAAATCAAAATTGTAAATATTATGCCAGAGTCTGATATTCAAAACTGTTTACTTATAAATGCAAACTAACTGGCATATTTTAACTTAAAATCACAAATTATATCAGTTATATATATAAAAATTACAAAGTCAAGATACTTCTCACTCTGGCAATATGGAATACGAAGACAATGTTAAAATCCTCTATTTTGGAAACACAAAAAAATGCAAAAACTTAACAAAAAAGAAAGAGCAGGTCTTCACTGCCAAAAATGTAGAAGCCAGCATGGTAGGGATAACTTGGTAGCTAACCTGAAGAGGAGAGTGTAGGTCTCATCATTTGGAGGTATGCGTTTTTTTGTTGTTTGTTTTTGCCATAGGTTGCAAGTGCTTGCCAGAGAGAGAGAGAGACAGGGAAAGTGAGAAATCACCCTCCAGAGAGAATGGCCTTGCCGCAGTCGTTTCTCCATTCTCTCAGGATTCTGAGCAGGCATATAGGCCCAGTGTGTTTTTCAAGCTGCTGAGTCTGGAACTTGAACTGTGGTTGACCATTTGGGAGTCCAATGCCTTAACCACCTCGCCATCTGCTGGCCCCTGAGGCATGGATTTTATTGCCCAACTTAATGTCAGGACAGGAGATGAAACCTTGAAACTATTAGAGCCAGGTAGTGGGAAGTGAGACCTATAACCAAATTGTGGACTTCAGGATTCAAAGGACTGTGTCTTCAGTGAAGGAATGAACTAGAAAAAAACTTTCCAGCAGCGTAAGTGATAAAAAGAAAGACTGGATGTTGAGTGTGAAGTTCTTCCTGAGAATTTGCAACGTGGGACTTGTGCTTCACACAATTTGAGTGTTTAGGTTTTTGGCTGGTAATATTCTTAGTGTTCCTGGTTAAAACAAACGAAAGACCTTTTTTTTTGAAGAACCTTTCATAGCTTAGAGCACAAGGAATCACAGGAGAAAGGAGCCTGATGAAAGATTTCACAGTAAAAAACCCCAGAACTTTAGGAAATAATTCACCAAAATAAGAGTTAATGATAACTAGGAGTAGCAACCTTAATAGGTAAATCCAAAAAAGTACCATATGTTTAACTTATTAAAAACTCAAAAGGAATCAATTCTTGAGTATTATTATTAATATTAGCAATGTTATGGAAAACCACATGTACTTTAAAATGAACCAGGTATAACTTTCAGAATTGAAAAAAGCAAGTCAACTGAATAGCAAACCTAGCAGAAGAAAGTTATAAATATGATAGATCTGTTTCTGGATAGGTAGATGTAGAAGATAGGTGTGATCTACTAGAATTTGATTCAGAAAGAGAAAAAGATGCACGATTAAGAAACATGAGAAATAGGTTGAGGAGTCAAGTCATTTAAGGTGAGGAAAAAATCAGTAAAAAGATAGTTGAGAATTTTGCAAAATGTAATGTTTAGAATCAAGAAGCACTAGTCTGGAACGTGAGCTATAGAAATAAATTCACACTGGATATGTTGATGTGAAACTGCAGATAATAAACTACCAGTCACAAACTTACCAGAGATAGTAGAAGCAGTAAGATTGAGAACCCAGGGGCTAGTAGGTGGCATGGTGGTTAAGGTTGTTGGACTCCCACATGACCAACTATGGGTCGGGTCCCAGATCTGGTGGCTTGCTTTCTTACTTTTCCTCTCTCTCACTCTGTCCTCCTCTGGTTAAATTAAAATAAATAAAAGTTAAATAATAATTTTAAAAATTGATAAGACATTTAAAACTTTTTAAAAAAGTTATTTGATTTTATTATTATTATTTAAATGTGACCAGAGAGTGACAAAGTGAGAAGAAAAGAAAACAGGCCGTTAGGTCTGGGACTTGAGCTGCGGTTGGCCATGCGGAAGACCAGTGCCATAACCGCATTGAAACTTGGCCAGACCCACAGGCTTAAAATTTTTAAGAAACTGGAGGGACCAGCAGTTAGCGTAATGGCTATGTCGCTGAACTCCCATGTAGCTGACCGCTGTTCAAGTCCAGGACTCGGTGGCTTAAACTCACAGGGTGCGTGTGTGTGCATGCCTAAGATCCCGAGAGGAGAATGGAGGAGAAGGGATTGCGGCGTGACCACACGCGCCTTGTTGTAAAAACCTCTCCACAAAACTTTTTTTTTAAAGAAGCTGCAAATAATGAAATCCTCAGAGTTTAGAGGAGAAATAACTATTGCCCTTGAATTTTCTACCCAAATCAACATCATAAACAGGTATCTCAAAAACTTAAGAATACTACTTCAGGCTATTAACTGAAAGAACTACTAGAGGATATTAAATCCGGAAAGGAGGAGTAGGATGCAGAAAACCCCCTAGCAGAAGGAAACATGAGAAAAAGGAGGGTCAGCCACTTGTTAGGCAGCTGAATTCATATGACTGGTTGCACAGTTTGAGTCCTAGACCCTGGGGCTTGAGAAGGAAACAAACACACTGTGTATACTGTGCATTTGCCCCAAATCCCTAGGGACAAGATTGCAGAGTAACCATTCCCCAGGGAGTACTTTCTCTCAACTTGATGAGCCCATGTACCCTCTGGCAAATTAAAAAAAGAGGGAAGGGGCAAATAATTGAGCCACCCAGTGTCCTGGTGATAGTTAAGGGAGCTAGATCTCACATGACCAAGTATGTGGTTCAAGTCCTGGATATGGTGGCTTGAGACAGGTGTGCGCCCAAAATCTTGAAAGGGAAATGTAGAAAGGAATGTGGTGTGGCCATTCCCCTGAAGGAGATGCTTTCTCACTTTACCTTTAGTCTCTTGTCTTTTTTTTTTTTCAAAGAATTACTTACTTTTATTCATTGTCATTATTTTTATTTTTTGGAAGCTGATCAGAGAGAGACAGAAGGAAAGTGAGAAAGCAAGTGGTCAGGTCTGGGACTTGAACTGTTGTTAGCCATGTGGTAGTCCAGCTGCCTTAACCACCATGCCACTTGTCAGCCCCAGTCTCTGTCTTTGGTGAGTTTACTCACCTTGTAGCAAAACAAACCAAACAACAAGAATCCCTATTGGGGAAAAATGGTCTAGAAATATACTATTCAGAAAAAATATACCTGAAACAACAAATATTTGAAGATGTAAAAAGATTAACAAGGCAAATACCACCACCCTCCTTTTTTCTTTTTTTAAAGAGAGAGTTTTGCTATAGAGTGTGTGTGCTTGCCAGAGAGAGAGACAAAGTGAGTAATCAACCCCCTGGGGGGTGCATTGCCATGCCATAGTCCCTTCTCATCCATTCTCCTCTTGGGATTTTGGGCACACATGCACATATGCCCAGTGTGTCTTAGCAGCTGGGTCTGGGACCCGAACTGCCTTAGTCTACGTGAGAATTCAGCAACGTAACCATTATGCCATCTACTGGTACACCAACCCTTTTTGTTTGTAATGTTACCAAAGTTTAGATTTTTTAGGGTAAAGAATTATTTATTTAATTTTGTTATAAATTTTAAAT